TTTTTTTTTTCGACTAAATAAAATTGCTATCCCACTGACACATGTTTTTTGAAAAAGAAAACAATTGTATTAACAATTTCGATCGATGCAACATGAATTTAAATAATTCTAAACCACAATTGGTAAAACAAACCAGTTAAAAAAAGATATTACCAAATAAAATAATATTGAATTATTTGAAAGCTTACTTTGATTTGTCCAACGCAGAGCGTTTTCGGTGGTTGATTTGCACGTACAACAAATTCCGGTCCGATGCATTGTGCCTTATTAAATGACCTCATTGGTCCTCCGCCTATGGTTCGGTAGAGTCGTGATGGTGCTCTTTGAACTGCTTTACCACGTCGAGCTCTCGGTCCATTTCTCACTATATTTCTGCACATATAACAACATTACCTTCTTGGATAAATGAATTATCGTCTCAATATACTTAAATTTTATGTTACATTTAATAATTCCTATCATTTTACTACACTAGATATTTAACCCTGACGCATCGTGTAGAATAATAATAATAATACGATAGAAATAAGAAAATTATATTCTACCTACTTTTTCATTTTTTTTTTTTCAATTTACAAAAAAGTCAATTGAATTCTCGTCACTCTCTTATCTAACAGTAAAAAAAGATAAAAAAAAAAAAATGATAGAACCTTTAAAGGTGAAAGCCGGTTCGTTAATACCACCCAGCCACGACGTGTGACTGCTTCCACATTTATTATCTTCGTACACGTGTAAGCAATTTATCTCTCTCTCTCTCTCCGACTATACTAAAAATGATTTTATTTAAAATAAATGAGAAAAAAAAGAAAAAAAATTCTCACGATTTTTATAATTTCTCGTCGTAAGTAAAATCAAAATACATACATACAATTAATTATAACGAAGAAGAACTGTATTCGCAGGAATCATTGAATTTTTCATCCCTTAACAAACTCAATTTCAAAAAGATCGGATTCACGTAAAGAAACAGAGAGAGAGAGAGAGAGAGAGAGAGAGAGAAACAATATTTGATTCAAGCTTGTTCTAGTCTTTCTATCTCTCTCACACACATTTATTTTCTCTCTTTATCTCTCTCTCTCTTTTAAAGGTGGCAACTTCAGAGAGCCGACCTAGATCGCTTGAAAGCGTTTATTAACACGGATGTATGACTTGGGCCAAACTTAATAATGGCCGCATAAAGGGTGCGAGAATATCTGAGAACGCTTCGAGGCCCTCCTCCTCTTTCTCTCCTTCCCTAATTTAATGCTTTACTCCCTTTCCCTCTTCTACCCCATCATCCCATTCCACTTTTCATCTACCCTGTTATCTTTCCTCACCCTCACCCTCTTTCTTTCTCTCATCTTTGGCGGCACGATTGATGAAATTTCAAGTTAAATGTTTTCATTTAAAACGTTAATCTTCCTTGTGATTAACGACAATAATTCAATAACTATTCTAAAATTCATGAAACGTTATGCGTTCGTGATAATTGCGAAGAGTTCATTGTTTGTCGTACAAATATTTCAAAGATGGCGTTCCTCTTTTGAAATATCATTGAAACATTTTTTGAGGTTAGGTTATAAAGACGAAAAAAATAATAATTTCTTACCTCGGTGGTTTGGCTGGTGGTTCCGTTGGATTACTTTCCATATCGGATAATGGTGGTTTTCTTAAAGTGGTTATTATTCGGGGTGGTTTAGGTGGTCCTTGAGTTCCTCCTCCTCCTCCTCCTCTCATTTTTATGGAAGACAATGGATTTTGTTGTTGGACCATCTGTTCCTCGTTCTTTGGGATTCGATGATCACTCGTCATCACGATATTCGGTTGGGATAGTCTTTTAAATTCCGTTGATTGTTGTTGCTGTTGTAATTGTGTTTGATGATCCCTGTTTGAAATTTGGGGATTCGAATTCTGACGTTGCAAGGATTTATTATTGGTCCTTTCGTAAATGTCGCCATTGGGATTACTGAAATACAAAATTTATCAAATTATCGTCACAATTAAAAATTCATATTTTATATTTATATTAGAAAAAATTATATCTTAAGTTGAATACTCAGGATAATTAAAATAAAAGTAAAACAAACCTGTTGGTGGTTGTAGTCGCGTTAGACGTGTAAACGTTGTCTCTTCGAGCTGGTGCCGGTGTCTTAGCTGAGAATCCGTTGACACGAACATCTTGCGAGCTAAGGAATGGTTTAACAGGCAAGGCGTATATTGGATCGTTGTAGGGGTTTCCCGTGGGAGTGCACTCGGAGAAGATGGTGTGCAGATTGCCACTACTCTTTGTCTGTTGAAGCCGAGTAGAAACGGGTTGAGAATAGGCTCGCGTGTGACTGTGTTGCTGTTGTTGTTGTTGTTGCTGCTGATAATGTAAATGATGATGACTGTTTGGTAAAGCAAGGGAAGGCCTACTACCACTCGCCTGAATATCCAACTGAGATTGAAATTGCGCTCTGCAATTACTCAAAGCCATTTCCGTTCTTCTCTGTTGTTTCTGATGTTCCTGGTGTTGATGTTGCTGTTGTTGTTGTTGTTGGTTACACAGACTCGTTAGATTTGGATGGGAACGGGAATTCCTCGACTGTGCTTTGAAAAGTGCACCCTTTTGATGATGATGATGATGATGATGATGATGATTATTGTGATTATGATTATGATTAGTATTAATATTAGGATTATGATGGGAATGCTGCTGGTCTTGTTGATTCTTTGGAAATAGCTGCTTATTTACTTGACTCTGCTGATTTATTACTTCCTGTTGCCTTAATTGTTGCTGTTGCTTTTGTTGCTGATGAAATTGTTCGTTAGAACGTTGCATTGAATGCTGTTTTAAATTCTGTTGTTCGACTTGTCCGTTCTGTGACGTTCGCTCATCTTGACCCTGTTGTTGTTGCTGCTGCTGTTGCTGTTGTTGTTGATGATGATGACGATGATGATGATTATGATGATGATGATGATCGTGTTGCTGTTGTTGTTGACCCTGATAATTTTGATTGGTTCGTTCTACAGGATTATTTAAATTAGGTATTGCGTTGAGTCGATGATAAGCAGCACGTTTTCTTGCCGCGTATTGGGCAGATCTTATTACTTCTCTATACATGTCCATGACTATGTGTGTGAATGGTTTTGATTGCAAACGTGTACGGCAGTATTCCGAGATTACCTTGAGAAACAGAAATATTAGAAAAATAAAATTAGAATAATTTTACATTAGGGGGTTTTTATTTTGTTCTAATATTATTGTCTGTTTTTCTTTTTCTCCTTGTTCACAAATAATTATCAGCAAAAACAATGAAGCAGCCAAATTGCAGCGAAATTTATTGTATTACTTGAATAATCCGATTGGTCGATTTTGGAAGTACCACTTTCCAGTAGACAAACTATTAGTTTGAACGAACAATAGTCCCCCAATTCTATAGACTATGATCCAACGGAGAAGTGACCCCCCCCCTCCCCCACCTGACCAACCCTGTTGGCCATTATCACTCCTTTGTATTCTCCACCCTGCGAATGACGAACTTTAGAGACAACGCCGTTCCCGTTCAAGATAAAAACGAGACGATTAATATTTCCTGCTCGTGATAGCAATTATATTTCTCTTATTCTTTATCAAATACAATTTATTAATACCGTAACGAAATTAATTTCAATTTGTTTTCTTTGTTCATTTATCATATTTAATCCAAGTGTTAACGAGAATGCAAAAATTAATGTAACAATTTTTGTTTCGAGTGTTAAATATTAGAAAAAATCAAATTTAAATCATTATCATTATTAAATATTATTATTATTGTTAATATAATCAAGATTTTTTTTTTTTTCTTATCCAAAATTTATTAATATTATTACTAAGTTTACTCTTAGGGAAGTTGTTTTTTGGACGGGTTTAATTAAGATGAACACTATATTTATCCGTTGAACGTTTCGTCTCTATTT